ATTTGAGGGCCTTTCCCGTCTTATCAAAGCGCCCTAATTCTCCGTATACCGGGGAATCGACCTCCTCTTTCCGATGGAGCTTTCAGAATCCCGATAAAATGCAAGTTTACAAAGGTAAAGCCGGTTTTATTCATTTTTGGGGGAATTTGCATAATGTGAAAAATACAAATTTGCTCATTCTTGCGAGTTGCACGCGCGCGTGTGGTGGGGTGGGGTCCGAAGGACCCGAGCTGCCGGAAAGCCTTAAATTTCTCATGCAAATGACATTCCAGCGCCCAAGGCCCGCGAAGCGGTTTTGGCCGCTGGTTCTATCAATAATCTTGAAATTTGACCCCTCATCATCACCATCACTAGACCCCCATAAAATCCGGTCTACCGGCCGTAATTTAGACAGAGCCCCAGGTCGTAAAATATCGCCCTCCCTCTCCCGGCAGCGTGAAGCCCATGAAGCTTCTGCCGTCTCCTCCCCATTACCGTTCTCTATCACCTTTAAAAAGGGGGGTGTCGAAGCGGCAAGGGGGGACAATGGCCGGCGCCGCCCGGATGGCGCTACCAGATCGGCCAACAGCTTGTGATAAGAAATTAAGACCGGGGGATTAGTTGGCACCTCACAACGACCGTCTGAAAAACGGAGCGCACACCAAAAATGACCGAAAAGTACCTTCAGCGGGGATGGGATTGGGATTGGAGAAATTTAGTTAAAAACTGCTAAATTCGACTAAAACTAAACAAGAGAGAGAGAGAGAGAAGAAAGAGAGAGAGAGAGAGAGAGAGAGAGAGAGAGAGAGAGAGAGAGAGAGAGATAGACAGGGGCAAAGAGAGCGCGAGTGAGAGAGAGCGATAGAGATAGAAAGAGAGAGCGAGAGAGAGCGAGAGACAGCGAGAAAGAGCGAGAGAGAAAGCGAGTGAGAGAAAGCAAGTGAGAGAGCGCGCGAGAGATAGCTAGAAAGAGCGTGAGAGCGAGAGCGAGAGAGAGAGAGAAAGCGACAGAGAGGCAAAAAGCTAAACAAATACTAATTCGAAGCTTGCTTTTCAAAACCTTGAACCGAAAATTTCAATAACCAGGCCGACAAAACCCTAAATTTTACCGGTAGCTAAAAGGAAATTTACATTTCTTCAACTGGCTTCAAGGTCCCTTTAATCCTACAAAAAATATGTTTAGATAAATCTAACCCCGCATGAAAAGCTTCTCGGCTATTTTTTTAATTAACTTAAAATAAGTAATCTTTTTTGCAGGAACATGGATGAAAACCCGATCTCGCCGAAACTCGCTGAAATCGCTGCGATCCCGGGCCAGCTCGATCGTCGAGTCGATCAAGGATGTTATGTCCAAGGAGACGATTATGACTATTTGGATCCAGGTATATAAGTTTTAAACGCAGCATCTTTTTAATGTACCTCCCAATACATATGTACATATTTTTAGAGCGCCCTGCCTTTTTTGATCGCAGGTCTGGGATCTATTGGCGCCGGTGTTGCTCTGAATCAAGCACAGCAGTTTCCGCTTTTTTGTGTAAGTAAAGATAGCTTAAAGACTTTAATTTAATTAGTAGTAAAGTATATTAATTAATAGAAATTTAGGGCATAATTTAATACATTAAATAATGCATTTATCACAGAAAAATTCCGCAAATGATCGCTCTATCCACGCCGATTATGGGGCTGAAGGGAAATCTGGACATGACTTTTGCATCGAGATTGGCAACTATGGTATGTTTCGAAACGTTATAAATCCCTGAAAACGTAAGGTACCCTCGCTAAGGTATCTATGCCTTAAATTTACATACCTTACCCAAAATGCCTTATTACTAACCTTTTTAGAGTCACCAAGGAAAACTTGACACATGGGATGGCATCAAGAAAAGAGTACCGATCAATATGATGTTGGTGCAGGTAAACGCTACCTTACTTGCCTTAAAAATTCTACTTTTTTAGGCTCAAGCCATGGTCATCTCCTTTTTCGCCACGGCGCTTACTTTGGCCCTTTCTGCTATTCAGAATGCAGTCGGCGTTGCCGGGGCACCTTCGGTAAGTTTAATTCGCAAAAAGCAAAAGATTTGGGCTGAGCCGGGGATTGAACCCGGGACCTCTCGCACCCTAAGCGAGAATCATACCACTAGACCACTCAGCCGGCGGAGGGGAGGAGCCGGGAGAAGCTTACATGCCATAGGAGCGTAGCGGAATCAAAAATCTTCAAAACGCAAAACTTTGGGCTGAGCCGGGGATTGAACCCGGGACCTCTCGCACCCTAAGCGAGAATCATACCACTAGACCACTCAGCCGGTGGTGGCGAGAAGCCGGGAGAAGCCTATGAACGACATAGGAATGTGACGGAATCGAAAATTTTCAAAAAGCAAAAATCTGGGCTGAGCCGGGGATTGAACCCGGGACCTCTCGCACCCTAAGCGAGAATCATACCACTAGACCACTCAGCCATGTGGGATGGCAGATGGGGGTGGCTTATGAATCACCTAGGCCGAAGCCGGTCGCCAAAATCGAAAAGCTCGTTTTGGCTGGCTGAACATCGAAATGAGGGGAGGAGAAGCCAAGGAGAGCCAAAAAAGAGGGAGAGGGAGAGAGTGAGAGTGAGAGTGAAAGGAATCCCCCAAAAATGAGCAAACAAAACGTCATCTGAAACAACGAGGACACCAAAAAAGCATACTAGGCGAAAAAATACTCTAAAACGACTAAAAAAAAGTAGTTTCTCAATTGAAAAATGAAATTGGACTGATACTGCTTTATTTAATTACAAGTACTTTTCAAATTTGATAAGAGAATAGGTGATTACCGCCAACGTTACCGGCTAATTGGAATGTAAAACACTTATTAAAACCCTTAAAAACTAATTAAGGACTTAGATTTTTAAAATCTATGCGTGAATTTTTAAGTTTTTACAAGGAAAACAAAGAATTTACGTTTTTGGACCAGCAATTTACAAAAAATGTCTCGTAATTTTCAAATCCGCACGAAGTTCGGCTTTTAAAACGTTGGAAAAGTTAGATAATGTTAAACTAAACCTAAAACGGTTTTATTAAAGCTACGACCATCGTTTTAACAAGGCCAAATCCTCCTTTTCCAGATGGATTCCATTGGCGTGCACATCCCGCTAATGATCGCCACCGGCCTAATGACAATCTGCACGTCTTGCGGCGTGATGGACACCGTCATGGCCACCATGGTTATTGTTTCCAGGTTTTAAAAGATAGATTCAATTGATAGTGATGATTTTAGACGCAAAAACGTGAACCCCGACAACATCACCGCCCCCATTGCCGCGTCGATGGGCGATCTGGCGTGCATGTGCTTGCTGGTGAGTGATTTTCGGCAGTTAACAAAAGCTAACGATAAATATCCTATTAAAAAGAACTTCTTTTTTCCATAAAAGTACATTCCCTGATACCATAGGTTACTAATTACGATGTATTAGCGCCTAGTTGAACTTCATGGGGGTGGTATACAAAAGTCTACAAGGCGTTGAGTATTTGTAGTGCAAAAACTAACTCTTTTTACCTATAAAAAGTATGTCTGGTACCTAGGATAAATTGCGATCTCTCAATACCTAATTTATCCTAATTTTAACGATTATATAACTTTTAATTAGCGAGCTATACCTGGCAAACCGTGCAATCTCGCTTGCTGATCTTTGTTCGTTTCACTTCCGCTACGATACACGCCAAGCGACACTTGAACTCATATCGGCCAAGGGAAAGGGCTTTTCGAATCGCTAAACCCGATTATGAAGGCAAAAAGCTCGTTGGGGGCATTTGCAGAGCCGAAATTTGCAGCGTTTCTGATAATTTTCAGGCCAGGAAATGATAGGAAATTTTGTTAATGGGCGGGAATTTTAAATCAGCATACTTCCACGCGAAAACAAAACTCAGTAAAAGCTAAATTTGAGCTTAAGTACCTTTATAAGGAATTTTCAGGTAGCCTACGGCTCGCTACTCTTCATCCCGTACAGCAATGATTCCTCTTGGCGAATGATCCCGTCGATCGTGCTCGCCATCGTGATCATGTGCACGTGGCCGTACTGGATGTACAAATGTCTGCAAGACGAGAAGTGCAGAACCATGCTGAAGACGTCGTGGTTCTCCTTGATTGGATCTGCCATGTTCTCGGCGTATGTTTTTGAGCGTATCAAACGTGGTAATAAGTTGAAAATGTGGTTTTGCGGGATTTTTGCAACGTTTCTAACGTCTCGAACTTTCTAAAAGCTATAATCGTGTTATTTTAAGCAAAAAGCATCTATAATTAGGTTAAATATGATTTAATTTTTTGCCATACGGTATTTTGGCAATTTTTCAAGCGTTTTCGTGTCCAGAACCGGTATCCGAGAGTAGAAAATCGAATTTTCGTCAACGTTTCTAATTTCTGGAGCTTCTTCATTCGCTCAAAGGAGATGTTTCTAGCCAAAATTGCGCTAAGTTAGTGTACTCTTCTGTAATTTGGCAGCTTTCCAACCCAATTTGGGTCCGAAATCCGCACCCACACGCGCCCAGGTCAGCAGCACGTCCCCCGAGGTACCAGCGGCTCCTTGAACCCTTATCTCCAAGAGGGCCCCACACTCCGCTGCTTTTTAAAATCGGCTTACCCAGACCGGTTGCCCCGTGGCAACTTCTCCGAATTTCGGCCGGCTGGCTACCAAACGCGTCACTCCACTCGGCAGCTGCTGAATGGGGCGAGATTAGCTATTTGGGGGGCATAGGGTGATCCCCGGTGGAATGTGCTGAATCATGGGGTATTGGAAGGTCGCAGGGTTCACGGAGATTAAAAGTTAATGAAGTAATTAAATTAGTTTATTAAGCTCAAAAGTTAATAAATTTTTCCAAAAATTATTTTATTATTTTGTGCCATTTTTTTAAGGAAAATTTGAGTTATTCCATATGAACTATCTCTATAAAGCTAAAAAAACTGACATTTTGAAATTTTTAAGCCAGTGTCGGTCGTAAAATCGATATTTTCGTGTTTTTAATAACCATAGCAACGTCTTTACGTTCATGAATAGCGCAAATAGGGCGTAGAAACGGTCGTAGATGCGTAGGAAAATCAATTCCCCCCCCGATAATTCCAAAGAACCGCTACGGCGGCTTCCTCTGTACCTCTTTGGATAACGATTTTGAAACACTGAATATCGACGTTTTTCCAGATGCGGTGGCTTCATCTTGCAAATCTGCGTAAATTCCTTCCCGGAAATGTCGCTCTACCAACCGCTTATGGCCGGAATCGCCGGAAACCGCGTGGCCGTCCAGTCGTCTAGGATCGCCTCGCTGCTATATCGGGATCACAAGGTACGGTAATTAAAGGGCATTTAAAAACCGACGATAAATTCCTGGAAAACTATAAAGTACATGCCAAAAAACTACCTCTCCAATCCCTAAAAATCTCTTATTTTAGCCTGGTGAGCTTCCGGAAGGCCGCTCGCTGTGGCACTACCTCTCCCCGTGGAGATGCTATCTGTCGAAAGGTATCTGACATCTTTCCGCCTGGTTAAACGCGACCTTCCAGATACCGATGCGGGCGCTGCTCGATTGTTGCTTGCTACGGCTGTGCCGTTCCAGGTGGGTGAAATTTTATGAAGAATTTTATGAGAGAGAAATTAAAATTTATGAAACAGTTACGATAGCTAAAACTAAGAAACGTCTTAAAAATTCAGGCATTGATTTTTTTAGTCTGTCGTAAATTACGACGTCGAAATTATATTTTTCGAAATTTATGACTCAATTTCGATTTGTCGGCATTACATTCCGACAAAACGGGCTTTTCGACATCTAATTTGGTCGGTATTTCTTTTTTTTCGCTTTCGCGTTCGCTAAACAAACTAGTCGGTTGCAGTTAATGATGGATTTTCAGATAATAAAAGTCGGCATTTTTGCCGTTGACATTTTGAAGTTTCGACAAATTGAAATGTTCTGGCAATATGATATCAAAACCTTCAGGCAATCTTCGTCTCCCTGACGTACCTCGTCTCGTACATCCTCCACAAATCCGGCGTCATCGACCCGTTGCCGATGATCAATTGGCAATTTACGCTGGGATATCTTATCGCTGCGTTTGTCCAGGTATACACAATATTATTAAAAATATATTCTAACGAAAGGCGAAAGGCTTATCAAAATAGTTAACAAACAAAAAATAGGTTTACAACGAATATTCTAAAAATTTCAGATCCTGATCCTGCTCTGGTGTTGTCAGCTGATCGTGTTCGCGATGTGGAGATTCAAGATGGACCCCGACTTGCACGCTATTCCGATTTTGACGGGAATGGGCGACTTGTTCGGTACGTTCAGGGTGTAAATCGTACTTCAATGAGATACCACGAATTAAATTCAAGAAAAGCAAACCATTTATAGAATTTCTTATTTTCCACAGGTTGCTCAAATTAGTAAATTACGAAATTAGGTTCTTTTGCATTATCGGGGGCGGGGAGGGGGAATACATGCGTTTTTCTAGAATGCCATAAATCCGTTTTAGTTTAATTACAAGTATTTCAATCCTTTTTTATAAAATGTAACTATATTTCAAGTGGAAAAACAAAGAAATAATTTGATAAAGGGTTTATTCAAAATTTTGGTCGAAAATCGGCAATTTTTCGTCGGAAAATCGATGTTTTTGAATTCTTTTCGTATCAATTTGTAAAGTTTTTACATTTAGGATGAGCAAATAACAGCTTAGAAACACTTTCGCCGTTTACCTTTGCCCCCTCCCCGATAATGCAAAAGCACCGTAAATTCCATGGTTTAAAAGTCACTTAAAAATAAGTATTTCAGTTATTTCGGGTATTTCAGTTGCGCATATAGTAAAATTAAACTATATTTATAGTTCTTTAAATAAGTAACAATTTAGGCACGACCTGGGCCGCTGTCACCTACGTCATCCTCTACCAACTTACCCCAAGCTCGATTCGGACGTGCTGGGATGGGTCGATAACTTGCTAGCATAGTGTGAAAAACATCGAAACCTTTTATTCTTCTGATTGTATGTATTTCCGGTACGTTTCGTACGTATTTCCGTACGTATACGTCCATCCCCCGACGGGTACCAACTGTGTTGGATATGTTGTGTGTGTGCATGTGCATTGTTCAGGCCAAGTCTCCACTCTCTAATTTTTCTGGTGTGATTTTATTTCCCCGGTGCCGTTCGAATCGTGGCAATAAAGTTTTTTTCCCTTTTTGGCTCATCATCAGGCTTATTTTCCAGCGCTAGCCTGGTGCGTAAGGGACTGCAGAGAACGCGCGGATGGCCTCTGTGCAGAGGAGCGGCGCGTTGCCTTGTGGGGGGCTACAGCCTGCTACTCTAATCGCTACCGTACGGAGTACTCCTTACGCCTTCTATGCTGTGCGTTCTTCGCATGATGAGAAAGACGGGAATTTGGGCCTAAACTTGCTTGGGAAATTCAGGCCCATTTTACCGCTTTCACTGAGATTTTGACGGATTTCTATCTCGAAAGATTGAGCGAAAAATGAAGCGGCCACTGTTTCTTCCCTGACATCACGTCCAAAACGGGCATTTTCATGACTTTTTTCGTATCGAACAATTCCAGAAATTACTCAAAATCGTCAGACTAATTGAGAAAAAATAGTCACAAACCAGTGCGAACTTTTCCCCAAAATCAGTTTTTTTACCGTTAACTTTCCTATCCTACTATATTCGGCCTAGAAAATTCGGCTGCGCATAGTTTTTACGGGTACCCATCGCTGGGAATAATTCAAACCTGATCAGACAGCGGGCGGCCAAAAGGCGGAGGGGAGGTTTTTTATGGGATACCCTACAGACCGCCCTGAGCATGTTGCGCAAACCTTGACCACCAGCTGTTCGCCATGGTATTCGATTACACTACACCTGACCACTACGGCACTGTCTCCAATTATGCTCAATGGGTGTCAAAGGCACCTTAAAATTTGTATATTTTCTAGTTAACAGCCGGCCAAACCAAGTTGTTTGTTTTGCCTTTGGTGGTAAAATGTCCTGTATTGAAGCTTTTGGTAGCTTTTGATACCCGCAAATTCATGGGGACATTTGTACAGCCTTTGCTTTTTTACGTTTACTACTTTTCTATAACTTTCACGTTTGTTGCCAATATTTGCTAATATTTTTCTAAAGAGATTTCTATGCGGAATACGGCTAGAAATCGTTAGATATCCTTAGCTGTATCCCTAAATTTCATCGTTAAGCCAAAACCCGGGCACCAAGGTAAAACAGGTGTTGCTCCCCTGCTAATGGCACCGAGAGCGACCCAGCTCGGACATTTTAATATACTGATGTCAGCGTGTCAATGGCGCAACCTATGTCTTTTATTACTACAAGTAAAAAAAGGCCCAGAGAGAACACGTGCCTATCGCCCCAGGGCATTTAAGGGGTCATAATGTTGCTCTTCGAAAAAAATTGACGCGCGCTTTCTTGTTTTTCCCTGATTTTCGAGAAAAACCCTTAATTTTTAAGCCAATTTGATGAAAAGATTGAAGGGATCTCGCTTTCATAGCTGACTCTGACTCTGTCTCGCTCTCTCTCAGTCTCTCGCTCTCTCGCACTCTCTCATTTCTCTCTCTCTCTCTCTCTCTCTCACTTTCTCTCTCACACATACTCCCTCTGTATGCCTGTCTCTCTCTCTCTCTCTCTCTCTCCCCTCTCGCTCTCTATCTATTGCCCTCCTTTATTTCTTTCCCTCGCTTTGCTTATTTCCCACCGTACCCCAAGGTCGACAGCACTTATGCGCTAATTTTCAAAACTCATGCCCGAGAGTCAGGTTTTTGTGAGTGGAAAATTTGCTTACGCGATTTTTTAGGGGAGCGGGGTGAAATTGGCGCAGCGGGGGAGGCCGAGCGCCTAGCATCGCATGGTCCTCACTGCCAAAAAACACCACCTGGCACTGGATGCACTTTATTGCAGCCCTTTTTCCTCTGCCGATAGAGTGTTGCCTCTGCATACTCATGCGCGACATGTTCAAACACGTAAAAAAATGCCTGGATTGGCGAAAATAGCATGGGCTGCCGGGAGTAAATAGCCTTTAAGACGTATTCATCCGACTCCAGGTTTCCGAAGTAAAGCAAAATTACGTAAAGCTGAAAAGCGTAGTGTTAGTACACCGTAAATTTTATAAATAAGATTACAAAGGTTAGAAAGTCACGCCACGTTTCTTACAACCCCTTAGATTTGCACAATGGGGTCTGGAAATTCCTTCGACGCTTCTAAGTTCCTTTAAAAACCCTGAACTTTCCTTTTTTCTGACATCAGTCTTTCGATTTTCAATATTTGTGTTAGTTATTTATGAAAATGTAAATTATAGAAATATAGAGGACACTTTTTACAATAACCATGACCTCCCAGCCACTTTCCGAGGATGGTGAAAACGCAGAGCCAAACCCCCGGAAAAGGAAATCAAAGTGGGTTTTTTTCTGCCGTTCGTCAAGCAACAGCTATTTGTTGGTTGGCAGAGGAATGCAGTGTAAATTCCCATGATTATTTTCCTTTTAGCGAGATGGCCGACGGTGATAAAGAATCGGAGGCCCCGTCCCGGGAATGTCACAGTCCGCCGGCCAGGTAGCCAATTCTTGCCATTCTTATTCTTTGACATCTTGGCGCTTTTGCAAATTCTGGCATCGACCTGGCCTTGGCTGATAAATCCAAATAGTCCAATAATGTATTTAAAGAGCCTTTTTAGTTCAATTGATTTTATTTGAAGTTATTCGAAAAAATCTCTCTAATAAATTCAAATAAGTAAGTTATAATGGATAATTTATTCGGAAAACATTAAAAACTGTTAAAAAAGTGCTAAAATCTATTCTTAAGCGGTTTTGCATCCTATTCGTCCATAAATTCCTAGTAACTTATAAGCAAGGAAAATTTTAAATTTCACCATATTTTGAGTGGAAAACCTATCTAGAAAATTCTTAAGAATTTTTAAAACTCCAAAATCTTGGCACCAAACTGGCATTTTGGTCAAAAAAATCGATAAGTTCGCTATTTTAATCAAAAATTTGTAAACATTTTACGTTCTGCCTTATTAAAAACGATCTATAAACCCTTCTCGGCTTATATTAAAAATTTCCATCCTCTGAAGATAGTTGGTATCCCCCTGTAATCTAAATTTATCTGGATTTTTAGTACTTTTGACCCGAACGGTTTGTCGCCTCCTTGGAGCCCTGAACCATCATATCCTGAACCGGAGGCCGAGATCGACAATGTCGAAAATGAGGAAAGCGTCGAGGGCCCGGGACAGCACCTCACCTGTGCCGAAAGTTCAAAAACGTTCATTTGCGAAAATGAAGAAATCATCGTCGCCGGAAGTGAGCAAGTCACGGATGCGGGAAATGAAGAGACTATTCAAGCTAATGAAGCGAGCATCAATGCAGAAAATCAAGAAATCGTCGAGGCAGAGGGAAAGCACCTCACCTGTGCGGGAAGTGAAGGAACGATCAGTTGCGACAGGCAGCAAGAGGTTGATGCACAAAATGAGCAAGGCCATAATGCTGAAGGCAAAAGCCATGCATCCGGGGGGAAAAGAAATTGGCACTGCTGAAAGTCAGCCGTCGCCGCGGATTTCGGAAGAATGTGGTGAGTGCTTGTGCCCAATTCTCTAGTCATGTCAAGGTTTTAGTTGCGACAAGCTCCGGTTTTGTGCCCGAAGGCCTTTGGAACAATCGACGAGCCAGACGGAAGCAAGAAGGTACTTATTTATAAAAAACTAGACCTTTCGGTACTAGTGCACTTGGGGGGGTGCAAAGGAAGGGCACTACAAGACGCTCCAGCTCTCGTTTATTCAACTCTCAACTTTTGAAAACGAAGCCAAGTTTCAGCCTGAAATTAGCTTCATAGGAATCGGCCTGATGTAAGCAAACTAGGACTTGGCTGTAAGCTTTGATTACGCTTCTTTTATAGCCTTCTAGAAAATTCAAGGCTAAGCTAAAGGCTAGGCATCAGTTCAAACCGATGCCGCGGCTTAAGCTAAGATAGAAGTTAGCTAAGTTAAACCTGGAGGCTTGGGCTATTTCCAGGTAGCTTGGGCAGAGCGTCTCGTAGCTCACTAGCGCCATCACAGGATCTGTCCTGCCCCAGGGCACAAGCCTCAGAATTTTTCCAACGTACCATTTCAGAAAGGATGGACATCTATACGATGGAAAGAGCTTCTACGCGATCTTTGTACGGATGAAGACGATGATACCGAAAACGGTCCTGATTGGATCCGGCGGTTCGATGACGTGATACCTTGGAGAAGTTGGACAAAATCCTAGGTATTAACTAGGATTTTAGCTCCGGGGGACGAAGCCGCCAATGAACGCTTGTTCGGTCAGCTTAAGGTGCATTTTTTTTGCTCGATCTTACGCGAGTTTTTAGTTGGGAGCCAGTTGAGGCGTGGAGGGGAGCCAAGCGGCAGAGGTGGAGAGGTTGCCTGACGGAATACTTCGCGTTTTCACTCAGAAAGACAACAACAAATTGGTAAGGGATTATCGATAATTTAGCCATGAGAAAAACCGGGACAGAATTGATATGGATTTAGGCAACAGAAGACAACTTCACCGATTGCTGGAGGAGTGTGTCTACGACGATTTATCGGATCCTCAGAAGGCAGCAACCGTGTAGGTTATCACCGTAATTTAAAGGGACTGGAGATCGAACAAATTTTCTGCCTGGGATCAAAAAGAATGGTCAAAAACTCGAAGTCTGCTGCTTAACGGTACGATCAAACTGATATCGCTGCGATAAAACGCTAAAAATGAAAGAAAGCGAAGCGTATTTGGAGCCCGTAGTGCGCGTCTTAATGCCCCTGGACTTGTGACCCACCCAAATATCAATCCCTATGAGATCCCGGTCAATTTAAATAATCAAAAAAAAGCAGAATGAATAAAAAGCTGTACTAGGCTCCAGAAATCGCACCGGGGAATTTGCGAATTGACGATTTTATCACATCTAAACCGGACCTAACGAAGCGTTGCGGCGACATAGGGCTGGCGTTTGACAAGGATCACCCAAATGGGCTGGACGATTTCTCGCTCGACTCCCTTGAAGCACACCATTTCGATTTTTTCTAGGAACTTCATCCGAGGCGGAGGCCGATTTTTGCTGTTTGACGAGGGCGGGCTCGGGAAATCGATGGTGGGCGCTGGCGACAATGAGGCGAGGATTATATGTTGGGGTTTTTGATTTCTTATCATAATGTCGAAATTTCATAATATCTGGGGGTTTTTTTTTTTTTTTTTTTTTTTTTTTTTTTTTTTTTTTTTGGGCGATTTTCGACATGATGTTTCTCGAAATTCAGAATGCCGAAATTTCATGAATCTCGGAAAATTAGAGATTTGGATATAGTGTTTTTTCGATCTGTATGGGTGTCGATATTTTTTTTTTTGCACAGGTTTAGGGGGCTTTTTTTTTTTTTTTTTTTTTTTTTTTTTTCCGTGAAAAGAAACTTGCCTATCTGGGGAAATTTCCAAATTATTCATTTTTGGGCAATGTGAATGTCGACATTAGGGGGTGGATTCTCGGCATTTTGAATTTTTTTGGGGGAAAGAAACTTTTCTCTTTTCGATCTTTGTGTGGCACCTCTTCACGAGAAAACGGCGACTTTCTTTGAGCTTCTTCAGCGAAGACTACCCGTTATTGATTGTCACCACACCGCAGTCCCGGGAGAAATGGGCCACTGTAGGTTTTCGTTTAAAAAATCAAGATAATGGATTTAGTTGGTCAAAAACTACCTGCCCTTGGCGGAGTGCGTGACGGTTCGGAAGAAAGACGACAGGCTCCCCAGGAAGCCGTCGTGACTTGGGTGGGATTAGAAATTTTTACAACATTCTACGGCGCTTTAGTTCTGATTTGGTAATTCCCATAACATCCTAAACGCCCGGATCGACGATTTCGTGCGCTTCGACCCCCAAGCCATCATTTTCGTGGGTTTTTTGCTGTTTGTACAAAGGAGACTCGGCGCCGGGGAGAGCCGTTTTTTCGTTTTCAGACCGAAGGTTCTGGCCGAAGAGTATAGCTATATTTTAAACTCTTTAAAATTGCCTTTTTTGTATAATTTTGCTAAATTTTTTACCTCAAATCCTAAAATTGCCCAAAATTTCCTTAATCTTTAAGATTTTTAGTTCTACAAATTGCGTCTTATTTAATCAAGCAGCTTTTGTATTTTGTAGGGTTGTACGGGATCGCTGGAGGAAAAAGTGGTCCTCCACTAACAGCCTCTAGCCCAGTGCCACTCATGTTATTTAGGATGAAAGTCAGCATGTGAAGAATTGGAAGAGCGATCGTACTAAAAATTCCCGAAACTTGGTGGTAGGTCTTAAACTGTACTCTTTACCCAAGCGATTCCTTCTTTTCAGGCTAATGCCGAACGGGTAATCTGCATCTCTTCCTTCCTCTGCAACGTTCTCCAATGACCTGATCAGCCAGGTGACAACCATTTCCAGAAACAACTTTTTTTTTCAGGTTCACATGATTCTGCGTGGGCTTCGAATCGAGTACGAAGTGGATCTCGCCGGAAGAAGATGGATGTGCCCATGGCAAACGAAGCGGATTCTCGACGCGATCACCTTCAGACAAACAAAAGGAATTCTGGGTACCGGTAAAGCATTTGGGGGGGATTAGGGGAGCGGTACTAGTGCATTTGGGGAGGGGGCGAGGCGTAGCAATCTGGACTTTGACTATAGGAGGCCCCAAAGTTCGTTTACTACCTCCACCGCTAACAAGTAAGCTTTTGAAAAAGTTAAGCTAGGCCAAAAGCCCAAACAGTTCTTCACAGAAAATAAACCTAAAAAAAATCTTGTAAGCTTACTGCAGCCTGGTTGAATGTAGTTATTTGCGAGAGCCCCTAACTGGCGTGTGGTGCCTTTTTCTGAAAGCAATTTTGATGCCATCTGGAAAGAGCATGTTGAATTAGTAGAGTGGAATTGTGTTTTCAAAATTTTAAAAACTCATTTCGGGTTTAAATAGCCGCTGAAGATGGGGACCCCAAAAATATAGATCTCGAAATTACGGGACAGTGGATCTGGTTTAAAAATTTGCGTTGGTGCCTAATTTGTGATCCTGATCGATACCTCTAATTCATTTGGAAGCATTTGGAATACATTTTCACGAAAATGCTAAATTCTCTTAGAGCCTTTGTCCAAAACACCGCATCCTTTCACCACATCAGCATCCCGGAAAGCGAGCAGCTTCTCGAGGCAGCTGCAGAAGCCGAATCCCGGCGGCAGGGGCCCACTTGGTGGGGGCTTAACTTCGCGGGCAATTTTCGGGCTTTAGCAAAGCGGACGATGACCCGGCGATGCTCACCGAATCCATGAAGGCCTTACGGAAAGTATTACCGCTTGTGCGTGAAGGCCAAGGCGCAGTACGTGGCGCCATACGTTCAGAAACTCTTCTTTTCACTCCGTCAGTTTCAACCAAAGGTTGGGTGCCACTTTCATACAATCGTGTAGCCCCATTTAATTTGTAGACCTTGATCTTGCCTTCTCATAAAACTGTCCGGAAGGCTATCAAAAAAATCAGGTACTTGATAGCGTTGACGGTTTAGTGTATTTTAGTTGGACGATGCTAAAATACGGTTTGTGGAGCCTGGGATATTCCAGCAGGCACTACACGCTTCGGAAGGCCGTCTCCAGAAATTCAAAACGGATTCAAGGATGAATATAGCGATGTAATCTTTTTATTTTATTTTCTAAACCTTTCCTCTCTCTCTCTCTCTCTCTCTCCCTTTTTTTTTTTTTTTTTTTTTTTTTCCTCTCTCTCTCTCTCTCTCTCTCTCTTTTTTTCCTTCTCTCTCTCTGAAATTGGTAGGTACAAAAAATTTAATTTTCAGGTCCTTTTCCTTCGTGCTTCCAGCCTGGGTCTAGATTTGCCGGAAGCGAAGCGCATCATCTTCCCTGAGCTTTTTACTTACACCGTCGCTCTTCACCTCCAGGTATGAAGACGAAAAGAGGAAAACGAAAAATACTGATTACGGGTCATCCTTTTCACGATTTTTCATTTCCCATCGATATTTTTCTCATGATCTGTAAATTTCTCTTGATCTCCTGACCAACCTGATTTTTTAGGCCGAAGATCAAGCCCATCGTTTTGGCCAAGACGACCAAGTAAAGATCCGACTACCTTGCCGACACGTAATTTTGCATCGACGAAATGCATTTTTGACGCTTTGGGAGGGTCGGGGTGAAATGCATGGAGGAGGTACGGGGGTAATTTTCTACATTAACAAAATAAAAATATTCAATCGAAAAATGCCTGAGACATTCCAGTCCCGGGAGAAATGGGCCACTGTAGGTTTTCGTTTAAAAAATCAAGATAATGGATTTAGTTGGTCAAAAACTACCTGCCCTTGGCGGAGTGCGTGACGGTTCGGAAGAAAGACGACAGGCTCCCAGGAAGCCGCCATGACTTGGGTGAGATTAGAAATACAACATTCTACGGCGCTTTAGTTCTGATTTGCACCTACAACATCCTAAACGCCCGGATCGACGATTTCGTGCGCTTCGACCCCCAAGCCATCATTTTCGTGGGTTTTTTGCTGTTTGTACAAAGGAGACTCTTCGCCGGGGAGGGCCATTTTTTATGGGGATAAATATTTTAAAATTTTAAAATTGCCTTTTTTGTATAATTTTGCTAAATTTTTTACCTCAAATCCTAAAATTGCCCAAAATTTCCTTAATCTTTAGGATTTTTAGTTCTACAAATTGCGTCTTATTTAATCAAGCAGCTTTGTATTTTGTAGGGTTGTACGGGATCGCTGGAGGAAAAGTGGTCCCCCCACTAACAGCCCAGTGCCACTCATGTTATTTAGGATGAAAGTCAGCATGTGAAGAATTGGAAGAGCGATCGTACTAAAAATTCCCGAAACTTGGTGGTAGGTCTTAATCCGTACTTTACCCAAGCGATTCCTTCTTTTCAGGCTAATGCCGAACGGGTAATCTGCATCTCTTCCTTCCCTCTGCAACGTTCTCCAAATGACCTGATCAGCCAGGTGACAACCATTTCAGAAACAACTTTTTTTTTCAGGTTCACATGATTCTGCGTGGGCTTCGAATCGAGTACGAAGTGGATCCTTACGGAAGAAGATGGATGTGCCCATGGCAAACGAAGCGGATTCTCGACGCGATCAGCTCTAGACAAACAAAGGAATTCTGGGTACCGGTAAGGCATTTGGATTAGGAGAGCGGTACTAGTGCATTTGGGGAGGGGGCAGGGCGTAGCAATCTGGACTTTGACTATAGGAGGCCCCAAAGTTCGTTTACTACTCAACGCTAACAAGTAAGCTTTTGGAAAAGCTAAGCTAGGCCAAAGCCCAAACAAAGGCCTTTCACAGAAAATAAAACCTAAAAAAATCTTGTAAGCTTACTGCAGCCTGGTTGAAAGGGTATTTGCGAGAGCCCCTAACTGGCGTGGTGCCTTTTTCGAAAGCAATTTTTGATGCCATCTGAAAGAGCATGTTCGAATTAGTAGAGTGGAATTGTTTTCAAAATTTTAAAAACTCATTTCTCGGGTTTAAATAGCCGCTGAAGATGCGGACCCCAAAAATAGATCTCGAAAATTACACAGTGGATCTGGTTTAAAATTTGCGTTGGTGCCTAATTTGTGATCCTGATCGATACCTCTAATTCATTTGGAAGCATTTGGAATACATTTTCACGAAAATGCTAAATTCTCTTAGAGCCTTCCCCCAAAACACCGCATCCTTCACCACATCAGCATCCCGAAAAGCGAGCAGCTTCTCGAGGCAGCTGCAGAAGCCGAATCCTGGCGGCAGGCCTACTTGGTGGGGGGCTTTCATTTCGCGGGCAATTTTCGGGCTTTAGCAAAGCGACGATGACCCGGCGATGCTCACCGAATCCATGAAGGCCTACGGAAAGTATTACCGCTTGTGCGTGAAGGCCAAGGCGCAGTACGTGGCGCCATACGTTCAGAAACTCTTCTTTTCACCTCGTCAGCGTCAACCAAAGGTTGGGTGCCACTTTCATACAATCATAACCCCATTTAATTTTTAGACCTTGATCTTTGCCTTTCATAAAACTGTCCGAAAGGCTATCAAGGATCAGGTAATTTGATATCGTTGACGGTTTAGGGTATTTTAGTTGGACGATGCTAAAATACGGTTTGTGGAGCTCGATATTCCAGCAGGCACTACACGCTTCGAAGGCCGTCTCCAGAAATTCAAAACGGATTCAAGGATGAACGTGGCGGTGTGTATTCTCTTTTTATTTTCTTTTCTAAACCTTCTCTCTCTCTCTCTCTCTCTCTCTCCCCCTTCTCTCTCTCCCTCTTTCTCTCTTTCTTCCTCTCTTCTCTTCGAAATTAAGTAACGAAAAAAAATTAATTTTCAGGTCCTCTCCCTTCGTGCTTCCAGCCTGGGTCTAGATTTGCCGGAAGCGAAGCGCATCATCTTCCCCGAGCTTTACTACACCGTCGCTCTTCACCTCCAGGTATGAAGACGAAAAAGAGGAAAAAATCGTGAAAAATACTTCGATTACGGTCATCCTTTTCACGATTTTTTCATTTCCCATCGATATTTTTCCTCATGATCTGTAAAAATTTCTCTTGATCTCCTGACCAACCTGATTTTTTAGGCCGAAGATCGGGCCCATCGTTTTGGCCAAGACGACCAAGTAAAGATCCACTACCTTGCCGACACGACCAGCATCGACGAAATGATTTTGACGCTTTGGGAGGGTCGGGTGAAATGCATGGAGGAGGTACGGTAATTTTCTACATTAACAAAATAAAAATATTCAATCGAAAAATGCCTGAGACATTCAGTACGTTTCGCAAAACGCTTACAATCCTACCAATTGAGTTGAGTTTTTGGAGAAAAACGTGCAATTTTGCGTGAAGAGTGCCACAAATGTGGCAAAAACCTCGGAACTTGGAAGACCAATTATAACATATCTCTTTGCCCTTTCAAGAGCTTTCGCTAGATAGCTAAACCACAAAAATCGGACACTCCTCCGGAACGGTAGAGCTCGAATTTTCAAGGCGGACAGCCTATATGCACCCATTTTTAGCGTGAACTGACGGGTATAATGAAGCGGTTCGACGCGGAAGTGTATGAACTAGATTTACACTCGATTCCTGACGGCTACGACGATGTGGGTTACTCGCGAAATACCTTATTTGATGAGGTTTAGGACGGTGACTCGGATCCTGATGCTAGCGAGGGTGAGGAGGATGAGGATGAAGAAGATGATGATGACGATGATGATTTGGCTTCTGAAGAGTCGTCAGCGGCGGAAAGTGAACAGTCTGAATCAGATGGTAACGATTTTCAAAGGGGTAAAAATTCTCGCGGGCCGTGATCAAACCTCTTGGTCAAAAAACCAAAGGGATACTTCCTAAAAGGCTTGCGAAATTGATTTTGCTCCAAAAAAGGGCTAAATATTCGAGAAAATACGACTTGTGTTTGAGAAGAAACCGACGAAAATTTTATGTCCAGAAGACGAAACGACGGACGATGATGAGTCAGGCCCGGGTGACGAATCACCCGCCCGCGATCAGTATTTGGGATCAGATGACACCGATGACGACGAAGAACAGGAAGCCAATAGTACGTTTCAGCCTATCCTTGCGGTGATACCAGGCAGGACATAGCAACAAAACAGTTGTATATTTTAGACCGCTACAAAGAGACGACCGCTGATGGCCGCTACCAATATGAGGACCAGGATTACGTCCAGCCTGCTACTGACAGTATCTACAGCCCGGATTCAGTTACATGTTTAGGGGACGAGGAAGTAGTACCACGCAAAGAGAGGCCCCCAAGGAGGAGTGCACGCCTCCAGAAAAGCTTAAAGAAAGCTAGTCGAAAGGCTAAATTCGACGACGATTCCGAGGATGATAGCGGTAAGTCTAATCAATGGAATTCTAGTTTACGAGTTTTAGAAAACCAAGACCCGGCTATGCAACAGAAAGACAGTGAGATTGAAAGTGAGGACGGTCAGTTAATTTCTAGGCTTATAAGAGATGACCTAGCACACCAAAGAACCGCAAAAAAACAAATATTTTCAGACTCAAATCAACCCTCGACCAGTCACAAGCACCGCAGGGCGGTTCGCTCATCGGATGAATCTGAATAAGCCGCTCCCACAATCCATATTTTCTCCAATTTCCGATACTTGTACTTATGTTTTGGTTTTTCCGCATTTTTCTTGCTGTTCGAATAAATTTCCGTTTTATAAAACAGTTAACATAATAAATTTTATCGGTGCTAATTTTTAGAGCCGAAAACGATCACACAGCTAAAACAGCATTTTTCGTATGAAAACACGGCCCTTGGAAAAGGCCTTTGAACCGAAAGAGTACTTCGAAAAAATTCGTCGCAACCCGGGCCCAGCGCCCGACACAGCCCCACCGCATTGCCAAACAGATGCACTGCCCTAGCTATCTACATTGTTTGATTTTTCTTTAGTTATTTTTACTTTTTTTATATTTATTTCGAATTTTTTTTATCAGAAAAGGATTCCGAGACAATACTCCTTCCGCCCCCGCCTGGCCCTCAATATCGTGGACTTTCATACGGTAGCCGCCTCCCAGCCCACGCCTCGAATTTTCCGCCTAAATTTCGATTTTCCGACTTTTGGACGCTTCATCTTTTTCTTTTTCGCTTCTGCGCGTTTCATCTTGTCGCGTTTTTGCTTTTCAAGCATTCTCTTTTGACGCACCTCTCCCTTGCTCTTCTCCCCAATTGTGCTTTTTTAAGCTCCGCGAAATTGTGTGTCCTTCCTTGCTTTATTTGTTTTCTTTTTTCGTTTTATAATTTTCCACATTTCAGCAATGTCCGGCGGATACGAAAGCTCGAGCCTGGCGCAGGATGACGTGGTGAGGCTGCTCGCGACCTACACGCACATCGGCACCACGAACGTCGACCACCAAATGGAGCAGTACATCTACGCACGACGCGCTGATGGTCAGTTTTTTTTGGATTTCTTGGAAGCAGCTTTTTGGAGGGCTACCAAAGCTGGCTCTATGGATTTTTGCCTGTGCCGCCATCCTTTTCATTGTTTTTTTTCCAGGCACCCACATCATCAACTTGAAGCAAACCTGGGAGAAGCTGCTGCTGGCCGCCCGTGCCATCGCAGCCGTCGAGAACCCAGCTGATGTGATCGTCGTCTCGGCCCGTCAATTCGCCCACCGAGCCCTGATGAAGTATGCTGCGCACACAGGAGCCACCCCGGTCTTCGGCCGTTTCGCCCCGGGCGCGCTCACCAATCAAATCCAGAAGAACTTCAAGGAGCCGCGCATTATCATCATCTCCGACCCGCGAATTGACCATCAGGTATTCAAAAAGCTTTTTTTGATTTTTCATAATTGTCTTTGTTAGGTCGTCACGGAAGCTTCGTACGCCAACGTGCCGATAATCGCGTTCACCAACTCGGATTCGCCGTTGAAGTTGATCGACATCGCCATTCCGTGCAATAACAAGGTAACCTTGCATAGAATTGTTTTTAGTTTCCTTTTAGGCCGCGCAGGCTGTTGGTCTGATGTGGTGGCTGCTCGCTCGCGAGGTGCTCATCCTACGTGGCAAGGTGTCTCGTGATGGACCGTTCCTGATCGAGAACACCGAGATCATGCCGGATCTCTACTTCTTCCGCGACCCAGCCGAGATCGAGAAGGAGCAAGCCGCCGAAGAATTCGAGGCCGGCCAACAAGAAGCCATCGCCACCGAGGTTCCACTCGACTTCACCGCTGCCCCGGATATCAAGGACTGGGCGGCCGAGGCCAACGCCGACAACTGGAATGGCCAGCCGGCCGGTCAAGAATGGGGACAAGCCCCCGCGGTCAACCAATGGTGAACCCGACAAATACCCGTTTTAAATTGTTGTTTTGTGTTGCGAATAAATACTTGTTGATCTTTTGACTGTCCTTTGAATAAAGTCATGGTCTTCAACCATTGCCCTTATCTTTATTACTGGATTGGTTTCCGGTCAATATCTCCGATATTCGGCGCTACTTTGCGGAAAAATTTTTACAGCTTTCATTTAGACGAAAGAAGATGGCGCCAGCACGCAAGGGCAAGACCAAGGAGGAGCAGCCCGTCGTCGCCCTGGGCCCGCAGGCGCGCGAGGGTGAGAACGTCTTCGGCGTCGCGCACATCTTCGCCTCGTTCAACGACACCTTCGTCCACGTCACCGATATTTCCGGTAATTTATTGTGTTCATTCATTGATATTCTGACTTAGGCCGCGAAACGATCGTGCGGGTCACTGGTGGAATGAAAGTGAAGGCTGACCGTGACGAGTCGTCGCCCTACGCTGCTATGCTCGCCGCCCAAGACGTTTCAGAACGCTGCAAACAGGTACTTTTTGATGAACGGCTTTGCTTGCGTATGCGTTCAGGGCGGAGGCATTTTTTCGGTGCCTGGATCCATTCTATACTTTGTTTTTTTAGCTCGGCATCAACGCGCTCCACATCAAGATCCGAGCCACCGGCGGCACGCGCACCAAGTCGCCCGGACCAGGAGCCCAATCCGCCCTGCGCGCCCTCGCCCGAAGTGGAATCAAGATCGGCCGCATCGAAGACGTGACCCCGATCCCGTCCGACAGCACCCGAAGGAAGGGAGGTCACCGCGGACGCCGCCTCTAATCATGCTTGTACGTGTTTTGTTACTGTTGTTGAAATTTCTTGAATAAACAGATTCGACTTAGCACGGGTGCGTAGGTGGCGGAAGGGCGCTTATTGCAGTGGGTTGGCTTTGTTGCGTGTTGTAAACTCTTTGTTCGGCTGCCGGAAATTTGCATCGAACGCATAAATGCGGCTGGCTACGCGAATTCTTAGCGCAGTTTTTCGCGATGTCGGCCCGTGTTCCGGTTCTTCTTGTGCTTACCTGTCTGCTCGGGTACTGCCTACACGGCGTGGCCGCCGACTGCTACCAGTGCACTGAGGGAGCAGTAGCTCTCATACCGGATTTGTACACTAGGTACTTTTCTATTTTACGCGGGAGCAAATGTTTGCGGGGCGGATTTCGGAAAGGACTGTGGGTGTTGGATTTGGTGGAATGATGATGATTTGTGGATTGGATTATGTTGGAATTGAATATGGATGTTGATGTTCTTTAGTTATTTTGATCTTCACGGTAACATGACCATCAGCGAGGACTGCAAGGTCATCGCGGTAGACATACGATCAGCGATGGTTTGAAGAGAATATAGGAAACGACGAAGACGTGCCCGGGCAACAAGTGCATCTACGCGTTCGTCGATTCCAGCCTTGTCGGTTTCATGCACATCCGGAACTGTGCCCCGCCAAAGTACCTGGAGAATTGGGAGACCGGACGTCGAGTCGTTAATGGCTGTAGGTTTATCCCGATTAAAAATGGGAAAGCAAATATAAAACCGTTTTTGCGTGTATCCAGCCGAATCGAGAACGTTATTTTCAGCCACCTGGTTCCACGCCTGCGAGAGTGAGCGCTGCAACAAGTTGCAACTCTGGGAGTTGAAGGCGGGCGTGATGAGGGCCGAAGATGCCTCCAGTGACTCATCCGCCATCTTCACCATGTACCCCGCCATCGCCCTCCTCATCGCGATTATGCCATCTTTCTTCTGAATCGATTTTTGCTGTGAATAAATCGGCAGCGTGCCAAAGTCGGGCCCGCACTAACGGTTCGAAATGACCTAGCGCACATCTGCGCCCTAGAAGCTAGGAGAGCAAACACGTAAGTTAGTGCTAACCGACAGCAAATGAAACACCATGGGCTCCGTGCTCTCCTATATTCGATCGCGCAAGCCGGGAGCTACCCAGCCGGAAACCGGCCATCAAGACGCTGAGCCTGCTGCTGGCGTGCAGCCGTTTCGCTTCACCGAACTGCCACCAAAACTGCAACAAGTCACATGCGCGCGGCTGGGATTTATGGACAAATGGAGGCTACGAAACGCTACCAAGGTTTCTTTTGTTTATTTCGCCTTCTTGAGCCTTTCATATATAATGGCACTCTTTCTAGAAGCCTAACAATTTTGATTTTAAAGTGAGAATCCGATTTTGTCGCTAGGATTTAGGTTTTGGACAGAGTCAGTGTTTGTAAAGTTGCTTTTACCATTTCTAAGCGTATCGCCTTTACAAAAAGTCTATAAAACACAAAACGAAGACACAAAGTAATAGTGTTTCGGCAAAAAGCTCGATTTTCCAGCAAAATTTCGGATTTGAAGACAACTTTTAAAGCTCGAAAGCCTTTTCAATGTATTTATGTCTCGACATTATAAAATCTATCTTTAGCGACGTACAATGATGTGCAACAAGTCCGTCGGCCTACCGTTCCGCGACATTTTTGAGGCGACTGTTTTGGCCGATGCGAATGGGGTACGTTATCTGATGGCAATTGCGTAATTGATGTTTTCATACTTTGCTAGATGACAAAAATTGGCCAGCAAATGACATGTTCCTAAATTATACGGGAAGAGCTCCTTTTTTAGACTCCTTTTTTAGACGCTCCTGGTCGAATTGGCGAGCGCCGAAGACCAGTTCCAAATCGTGTGGACACCGGCTCGATCTACGATTCGTGGACTCCGAGATGTTCCCTATGACGCGGATGTGCCTTTCTTGGATAAGTACGTAAAGTTAAAGCAGCGTAGCTTATTTGTATAATTGCGTCAATTTTTCGCTTTTGGGACGATTTCCCATCTAAAAGATCAGGTTTTGACGGTTTTTCGAGAAATACGATTTCTAGTCCTACCTTACAAATTTTAGGAACGCAGAACAACAAATACAATGTGTTTCTGGCGAGTTTCCGGCTAATGCCGACAGCGCGATGCGGGTTTTCAACAATTTGCTCCGATGGGTGGAGCCACGCGCCCTAGCGCTTTACGTCTCAAGGGATGGCTATGGCACCGTGAGTCACCATTATAACCCTTTATATCCGGCTCTCCATGGGTCGACAGGTGTGTAAAAAATACCAAAATAATCGCCCGGCCAAGACGAACGGTTTGGTATGCTTCACACACTTGTAGCTCAACGGGGAACCACGGTATTCACTACAGCGGAATTGCGTTTTTTCGACTGATCTACCACGTTTTTAAACTTTTCTTATGTAACTTTTCAGAACCCGACTGCCCTTGACCTGCTAACAAAGCCCTTCACCATGGTCGTCGAAACCCGCCGGGCCCAGGAAACGGTGGATTGGCTGTCGAAAGTCGGCTTGGACACCGATACCTTTGTAAGTTACTTTGGTATCGGAATAACGAAATCCATGATGCGGAAATTTCATAATATCGAAATTTCAAAACCTTGCAGTTTCTTAATGCCGAAATTTTAGAATGTCACGGTTATCCATAGACAAATCTGCCGAGAATTACCAGAATAGTTTGCTAAAAATGTCGATATTGTGAAATTTGGGGATTGCGAAATTTCGGCATTATCAATTTTAACATTTGCAGCTTCAACGTTCTAGAATTCAACAATATGATGTTTCTACTTTATGCATTTCGAAATTCAGAATTTCGACGCTATGAAGTTTCGACACGAAGAATTTCGGCATTTTTAATCTCGATGTTATCAAATTTAGCCATTTTCAAAGAAAATCAGCTTAAACATTATTTTGCACCGACATTAAATTGCTTTTTTATTGACTGAAAAGATTCAATTTAGCTGATATTTCACGTGTGCGACGAGACCTATGCGGCGGCCGAGATCCAGCTACCGGCCACATACGCTTTGGTAGGTATTTCGTTAACAAGGGCAAAAATAGAGAATTAAACGTGAACCCAAACTTTAAAGAAAAATTTATAGAAATCAGGTCATAGCCCGATTATTTTCAGCTGGCTTCCGCCCGTTTCCTGTTCTTCAAGCTGCTGGTCGTCGAGGATGACGACGTGCCCTTTGACGAGGCTTACCATATCGTTGAAAAGGCGATGAAGGTATGCGGTTTTAGGGCTTAAAATTCAACTTTTAAGTATAATTGATAACCAACATATTATTTTTCAGACCCCGCCGCCCGAGGGCAAACCGCGCACCACCCAAATTGAATATCTGGTCAAAAATGAGGAGCTGCTGCAGGTTCGTTGTACAACATTCAGCCCCCACTTCCGCTGTACGAAAATCCCGACAACCAAAATTCCGACAGTCCTAAGTCGCTAGCCAAAGTCCAGCCCGAAAGCTCACATCTCCATAATCCCGAACGCCACAATCCCGATGCATCAAAATACCGACCACCAAAATCCCGACATCAAAAATCCAGATAGCCGAAAGCGCGACAGCCACAAAACCGGCCCGGCAAATCGTCGAACAAATAGACGGGCGAAAAAAAGACATTTCTTGAAGTTAGTTGAATGCCATTTTCCTTCAGACAGACTTCAGACAGCTACTTTGCACGTCGGTATTTTGCTAAATCGGGATTGTTGCTGTCGAAATTTTGGTTGTTGGGATTTTGTGCGGGTTTTGTGTCGGTTTTGGTTTCGGTTTTGTGCGGGATTTTGATTGTCGGGATTTTGGTTGTCGGGATTATTGCTGTCGGGATTTTAAATATTTGATTTTTATGAAAATTTTTTACAAATATTTTCCATTTTCTCCAGAATGGCGTCGAAAAATACCGAAAATAGCGAAATATCGAAAATTTTGGGATTCAGGATTTTTTTCAGGATCAAGCCGGCCTCCAACAAATGCTGTTTGAAGTGAACCCGTACGGGCATCGCCCAGGACCCAACGATTTCTGCTCGATCGGGATGAGCAACTGGAAGGGACGGGCACTGCGTGTCCACTACTCCTTGATCCAGAATTCCCCCTACGAGAGCCGCAAATTCTGGAGCCGCAAACTGAAAAGCGAGCGCCCACTGATGATCAGTCGCGTCCCGCTGCGCTTCGAGCGACTCGATGATGATTAATTTTACTGAACTGATTTTTGGCAATAAATACATTTCGTTGCTTATATGGTCGAAAGCTAAGCCTAAGCGAAGCCAAGTCTAAGCCCAAATCTAAGCCTAAATCAAAATCTAAGCCAGCCCCAAGCCTAGCCTAAGCTTAGGCCTAGGCCTAAGCCCTAGCCTAGGAGTTAGCCAAGCTCAAGCTTCGCCCAGACATTGAACTCCCAAGCTAATTTGCTAAAAATAGCACGAAGCTTTTTTCTAAGCCTAGGGGAACCAAGGGTAGTTGATCGGGGTCAAGCCTAGGCCTAATAACCAAGCCTATTTTCTAATGTTTTTTTAGGATTTTGTTATAGAGTATCACAAAAACAATTTAAACATTCTGCACCTTTGCAGACGAGATCTGTTGTACAGTTGACCGTTAGCGGGGGAGGGTTTTTATTAAGTTAGAATCACTTCTGTTTTTCCACCTATGCCTAACCGTTGAAGATATAGAAGGATTTTAAGGTTTTTACTAGTTATAGGATTGCTATAAAAATTACAAAAATATTTTGGACATTTGTGCAAGCTTGAACGAATTCCCGTTAAATGTAGCCCCAGGCTACGCAGATGCCTTCGATCAGCGCGAAGTTGAATACATAATTTTCGGAGGGTCACGGAGGCGGGAAAGGCCATGTCAGATGTCATTTGAATTCGCATGTGTCTGCCTTCTGATTTGGGGCAGTGCAAATGGGTGTTGGGAGGTCATGAAAAGAGGACCTATATCTTAAGTTCTCTCTCTCTCTCTCTCTCTCTCTCTCTCTCTCTGTCTCTCTCGCTCTTTCTCGCGCTATCTCTGTCTCTCCCCCTCTCTATATCTATCTGTCTGTATCCCCTTTTGCCTACCTGGCAAATAGCTCTTGATTTTCCATTTCCTTTCCACGTCTTCGGGACATATCCCATTCAAATAAGCCGGCATTTCAGGTCATGGACTTCAGCGCGTTCCCGATCCTAGTTCAACACAATATCCTCCGCAATATGGACCTCAAAAGCTTCTTCAAGTCGGCCGCCACAAGCAAGTCGATGTGGGAGGTGGCTAAAAGTTGCCGGGACAAGCATTGGGATGTGAATCTACTGGGTAGGAATACGGACTGGTACAAAATAAGCTTCGGCTCGTTCGCTCCTTTGAGAGGTCTTGTCATCAACAACATGGACACCTTCCGATTGCTGTTCCATAATACCACCGTATATCCCCTGGAGCTAAGAGCTCCCATTCCCCAAGACATCGACCTGCGGTGCAGGGGAATAGGCGTCATAGGTGAAGATGTGACCCTGCCGATTCTGAAGCGCTACAAACCGACTGGAAAATACGAAGTGGTCTCCCTTGATCGCCTAGAAAACCCTACGTCAGCATTGGTCGGTTGGCTGAATGAATCGGCCGGTAGCCTGGTAATGGGTTCCAGCTGCCCCCCTCACCCGGGATACCTAAAGCTGAAAGTGCCAAAAATGTATTTATCCCTCAGCGGATTAATCGGCGTATCCGCTTCAGAATACGCACAGCTGGTTGTCGAGGAATGGCTGAAGGGCGAACGCCAAGTCCTTTCGATCAAGGTATATGTTGATGATGCTCTGGCTCGCGGGGCTAATCTTACTTTCTTCGGACAACACCCAAGCCTCAATGTGCCCATGTACCAGGCCACGCTCTATCGCTTCCGACGTAATGATGGAAACGTCCTTATCGTAAGCATTCCGACGCGTGCCTTCAACTGGGAAGGCATCAAAATCACCACCCCCGATCGGTCATCAATTCCCAAAAACGACGGCGAGCAAAGAATCCGCGACTTTGTGTACCATACTGAATAAATAAATTCGCGTTGTCAGTCGATTAAGGTTTTTCATCCCGTTATGATTATGACAAATGGGCGCCAAATGAGGTTCTTTCGCATTATCGGGGGGGGTCCATCGAGGTAACCCAACTTTTTTTTGAGGAATAATAAAGTGAATTGAAACATGAATAGCGGAAGCCCCTCTAAACTGTTTTTATTATTTCCGATGTTTTTATGCGTTTATTTAAGTTATTTACCAAAAATGGCCATTTTTGGCCAGAAGTTTAAATATAGTATTATATTGCTAAAAACACGTAAAACACTTTCTATTAATCCATTCGGCATTTCTACACTTATACAAAAACATTCAAGGTTCCGAGGAATTACTGTTATTTTCCGAATTATTTTCTCTGTTTCTTAACAGCCAAAATATAAACAAAATATTCGAAAAGCATTATCAATGGCGAAAACTGAATTTACCCCAAGAATTCCAGATATGCCTCGGAATGGTTTACAAAGTGTTTGAGCCGTGCTTGTAGTAGAATCCCGCTATATCCTAAATAAAAAGAGGCAGAAAACAAAGGCCATATTTTATCAGTTTTTTGTGCGTTAGAATTTATGGAAAACCATCTCCAACATCAAAATAGCGTTTGCAGTGCATGATTTGATCATGATGTGTGATCATACAAATGAAAATTTGTACGTGATCAAAATTAATTGACGATGCTAGTTGATTTTATTTGGATGAATTCGTGTTGATAACTATGTATATTTATCGCATTGTGTTGCGGAAAACCGATTTATTGCACAAACTTGCAACTCAAATTTCATGAGTATTTTCATCGCGAAAGCGCTTTGGAAGAGAAATGCAGAATAAATCAGGACCCGACTTTTGCCGACGGCAAGGTCGCCGATTTTGGACGAAGGAAAAATGCGCGACTTTCCTCGGCTTGATAATGACGGTCAAGCAATGAACGGGGAAGTTGTTCGTTCGTAGGCAATTTGTTTGTAAGATTTCTAGGAGTGCAGCATCGTCCTGAAAATGCAAGGTGTTATAAGTCGACATTATGAAGTGGGAGAAACTCTCTAGCTCTCTCTCTCCCTCTCTCTCTCTCCCTCTCTCTCTCCCTCTGCGTATTTCTCTGTCTCTCCGTCTCTCTTTTCTCTCGTTCTCTCTCTCTCCCCCTCCCTCTCCCGTTTTTCCAAAAAGAATTGTAGCAAAATTTAGCGATCAGAGCGATCGAATTTATTTCTCGTACCTGCGGTAGTGTCGAGTCTTCGATCTTGAATTGTATGCGTACCTCTCGAACTTGGCCGTCAGTTGGTGGACTCTGAAAAAAGCCCATTTTCCTTTAGCTCTATTCCTCCCTCCGTTCCTTAGCCTTCCCAATAAACCTCACTTCCCAGGCCATCTGCAAAATGTCTTGCGTGTCAGCCAGTTGAGAACCGATCTCAGGACTCAGGAGCAGAATTAGAATGCGAGAAGCGGACGCCGCCTGTAAAATGCTTTTGCAAAATTCCATTCCAATTCCCGTAAAATCCCACCAACTGAAACGATTCAATTAGGTCCTGATGAGTTTCCGGCTCAGCTGGATCGCCATAATGATCGACCACCTAAATGGGGTGGAAAAATGATGCCCAAAACGACGTTATTGAACCTACAATTGTCTCAGCGGTCAACCCGGTCCCGTCTAGCCAATTGAACATCTCCGGTGCGCGCCACGTTTCCACCAAGAAAGAGAACGACCCTTTCATTACCTCTAGCTCGATCGGCGTCTTAAAAACATGGGAAATTACACCAGAAACACTGCTTTTTACAGGGTGTACAGAAAAAATCCCGCAGTTTGCATAAAAATATCTCGCTAATGGAAACGAATCGGTCCATCTTCACCTTGCCAGAATGCTTATATATGCTGGATATGCAGAAAAGACAAAAGATGCTTTTCAGAACACATAATCGTTGGGCATTTTTTCAACTTTTTCGAAAAAGTAGAAAACTTCGAAGAGGGAATCATGGAACTCTTGATCGCTAGGGCGACATGAAGGGTATCAAAATGAAGCACTCTAAGTGCGCTATCTAATGCGTTTGATTTTTAATAACGATTTTGAGCTGATGTTTTCGATCGGTTTAACTACCGGCCAATAGCAATTTGTAAAATGTGTCTGTTACTGAGTTGCAGCATGATTTGCCTAACAGCCCATCAGTTCGGGTGTAACGCTCACCATATCGTATCCATCCTCGGTCGTGTAAAGACCGAGGGCTCGTGGCCTGATCCCATACAGTAGCTTGTTTAGTAAAGGAATACCGCGATTTGGCTTTATTTGCAGCTCAATGTAGATCGATTTCCTGAAAAAGATTGTTAGGAATAACGTATCACTCGAAAAGCTGAAGTTTTCGCACAAACAAATCCACCTATTTCCGCCCGCCGCCTCTTCCGCTTCGTAGTCTTCTAGATACAGCAAAACACTAGAATCCCCAGGGTTCAATAGGAGTTTGAAGGAATCATGCTCACTATCGCACTCAGCCACAATCAACTGTAAACATGGCGATGATGCTTGCAAGAATTTGCGTTCAATTAGCTGAGAAATATTAGAAAACATAAAACGTTACCGTTTCTTCCAGCCGCACAACAACATCCAGTATTTGACGGCACGGTAGGCCAATCGTCGATTTGTGCATCATTGTACGAGCCTGAAATTTAGTAAAACAAATATCCTTGACGCACGATATATCTTTCTCTCACTCAGTCTCTCTCTCTCTCTCTCTCTCTCTCTCTCTCTCTCTGTCTCTATCTATCTATCTATCTGTCTCTCGCGCTGTCCATCTCTCGCTCTTTTTCAGTCTCTCAATCCCCGTCTTTCTCCCTCTCGCTCTGTCTCTATCCCCCTCTCATTTTCGTTCTGACCAGTGACTAATAAATGAAGAAAATAAAAGTAAACGCACTTTCGTAGCTTTACGGAGCCTCGCTTTTTCGACAAAACTCAGATGCGCACACGCTGCTTGTTGCAGTTCGGACGGCAGCCGCAAGAAAGGAATCGACATCGTCAGAATTTAAATGTTTAAAACGGATAACAAGAAGATAACCGTCGACGAGTCGATTCAGATAGTGCAGATGGCGGGACCGTGAGACCCGCTGCTATTAATGGACACCACTGGCACTTTTGATTGCCGCGTTAATTGCGGCCAGTCAGAATTTAATAGCACTTCCGAAT